TAAATTTTTTAGATTATTTAAATATTTATGATTTAAATTTTTTAAATATTTATTTTGAAAAAAATTTATTTTCTATTAAGAATAAATTATTTTCAATTAATACTCTCAAATTATTAATTAAAAAATTGATTAATGTTATTTTCTGTTAATAATAAATTTTTTTAATTGAATTTTAAAAAAAGTTTGGTTATGAGTCTTGATTAGAATTTTCAATAGTGTGAAAGTAGTGTGTTTTGTTATGAGTTATAATTAAGTTTTGAAAACTCTTTCCAAAATTCATAACTAAACAAATTTCATTATTTTACATGTCAAATCAAACTTTCAAAACTCAAGTTCACACTCAATTTAAAACTCAATTTAACATTCTATTCAAAAATTATAACCAAACAAATTTTATATACTCAAATCATAATTCCACAACTCACAAACTTAAAATACAATTCATACTCTCAAATTATATTTACAAAACTCTATCCAACGTAACCTTAAGTTTTATTTAGTTTAATTTTGAAATTATGATTTGAATATAGAGTGGTAATTTAAGTGTAAAATTATGGGTTGAGTTTTTTTTTTAAAAAAAAATAGACATTTTTTTAAAATATTTAAGAAAAAATTATTTTTTTTATTTTAAATATATAATTGTTATTCAAATGTTTTTTAATATTTTAATATTAAATATTTTATTTTGTAAATATATTAATTTTTTTATATTTTAAATTTAAAAATTCAACACTACATTCAAATCATAATTAAACACATAATTTTAAAATAATTTTTAAAATCTATAATCAAATACATAATTTAAAATTTAATTTAAAATTATTTTTAAAGCTTATATTCAAACATATAATTCAAAATTTATAATTAATTTTTTTTTTTAATTCTATCTAAAAAATTTCAATCAAGAATTTTTAATTTTATCTTTGAAAATTATTTTTTATTTTATATTTTTTTGCAAAATTAATTTTTAAAAAAAATATTTTTTTATTTTTATTTTTGAAGAACAATAATTTTTGTTATTTTTTTAAGTATAGATCAAATAATTTGTTATGTTTTAGGAAAAATTAGTCTAAGGTTCCTCTTCCATATTTAGTAATGGAAGAGATCCACAATTTTATTTTATAATGTCTAAGGTCCCTTAACTCCCACACTCATATATCACATAGAAATTTGATTCTATCGAATCAAACCTCATTTTTTTTTTCCCATTTGCCCCAAAACACATCACACTCACAAACTTAATTGGAACTATGCCTAACCGCACCTGGGCGCGTCCACACCACTACATCTTCTTCCATACACACAGTGTGCGGACTGGTTGCACTGGCGCAAAGCAGCCCAACATCCCTCCGACAACTAGAAAAACTAGGGCTTCACCATCACCGTCGGAAGAGACACCACTGAAAAATATACCAGCGATACACCTAGACCAGATCATGGACGGCAAGACCGTTGACGAAACAGGACCAGCCGGATGACAAACAGAACCCACCGGATGACGAAACAGCGTCATCACCGTGCTTCTATCCCTGGAACCACACATCAATCTTCAATCGTCATACAGACTCGCCGAAAGCAGAGATCCACTGGACAAAAACGATTGACCAGCAACACATACCTGGGCTGAAGTCAGGGGACATCGAGGTTCAGGTGGAGGGCGACAATGTGCTTGTGATCAGCGGAGAGAGGAAGCGAGAGGAGCAGAAAGATGGAGCTAAGTATTTGAGGATGGAGCGGAGGGATGGAAAGTTGATGAGGAAGTTTTTGTTGCTTGAGAATGCTAATACTGATCAGATCTCTACTTTTTGTCAAGACGGTGTGTTCACTGAATTTCTCTGGATCTGAAGTGCAGAGAACATAGAGAATCCAGAGAAATTCAGAAGTTCAGAGAACATCCAGAGAAATTTAGTTAAAATACAGAGAATCCAGAATTTCTTTGGAGAGAAATTCTGAAGTCTAGAGAAATTTTGATTTGAATTTTTTCTGGATCAATCTTGAGGGACCTTAGACATTATGAAAATATTTAGTACCCTTTATACTATAAAATCTTAATACCAGGGACCTTAAAAAAAAATCCCCTATGTTTTACATATATATGATGATCTAATTTTTTTAATTTAAAAAATAAAAAATATTAAAAATTTAAAATATTTATAAAATAAAATAAAGTATTTATAAGTAAAATTATATATTTAAAATAAATAAAATAAATTTTATAAATTTTTATATATTTACAAAATATTTTTAAAAAATACAGCACACAAATTTATAAAATACAATGCATATTAAAATAAATAAATAACCTAAGAAAATTTTTAAATATTTTAAAAAAATAAATTAAAAAAATTTCAAAATATAACTCAACTTTTTTCAAAATTTATAATCAAACAAATTTTTCTTTTTTCTTTTTTCAAAACTCAATCTCAAAATTGATAACTCAAAACAGAACTCCACACTTAAATCATAAGAATAATTTTAAAAAATAAAATAAAATAATATTTTTTGTAATTTTTTTTTTTTTTTTCAAAATGGAGTTTTGAAACTTGTTTGGTTTGTATTTCAAGATATAATTTTTGAGAAAAATTTTCAAAGTTTTTTTTAGTTCAAATTTTTTGGAAATTTTTTTTCTAAAATTACTTTCTCTCTCCTACATATCAATAAATTATTTTTTTCTCTCTTCTCTCTTTTCTCAGGGTGTTTTGAGAAGATGATTAAAAGCTTAATTTTTTACCTTGTTTTACTTTTTGACTTTTTTATATGAGATGTGAGTTAAAAGTCAAGAAGCGGCTATTAACTCACTTTCCAAAATGAGCCTCAATCACTTTTTTCTCTCCTACACATCCACTCAATTATAACAAAATATCAAATCTTCTCAAACTCTCAAATTCCAAAACTATTTTCAAAATAGGCCCGGCTTCCCTCTAGTCCCAGATCAAACTGTAGGGTGCTATTGGGCCCTTGGGAGCCTACCACGGGTTCCATTTCGATAATCCGAACTGCTTAGTGTGTAGAATTCGTCGAGTACTATTTGTCTGTAAAAAATCACGATAATCGAATATCAATAGTTATGTGATCAAATAAGTTTTGTATTAAAAAAAAGAGACAGTGAAAAAATAAATGATGGACAAAAAACTGATCCAATGAGATAACTATCGATATCCGATTAATGTAATTTTTTTACAAACATATAGTATTCGGTGAGGTCTACATATTGAACGGTTCGAATTATCGAAATAGGACCCGTGGTGGGCCATTACGGGCCCAACAACACCCTTCAGTCCGATCTGGGACTGGAAGGAGGCCAATACCTTTCTTTTTAGGTTAAGTTTGATAGAGTTTTCTAAATATGATTTGAGAATAGAGTTGTATTTTGAGTTTGTGAGTTTTGAAATTATGATTTGAGTGTGAAAAATTTGTTTGGTGAATGAGTTTTGAAAATTTTTGATGTGACATATGATATTTGATATAAAAACTTACAACTCATAACCAAACACATAACTCAAAATTATATTCAAATCTCATAAAAAATTTTAAAAATTTCTGAATTTTTTTTATTTAAAATATAAAAAATAACAGGTGGCAATTGTTAAAAAAAATGCATTGTTCTAGTCAACCTGCCGGACGTCCGGGAGGACGACCGGTTAGCCCAAATTTTCCCGCATTGGACAGGGTTTTCAAAAATGAGTGTGAAATTAATTTTTGAAAACTGTAAACAAACTCTACGTGCAAACCAAAGGGTGAAACTAAAGTCCTAAAGCTCTTCCAAACAGAGCCCTAAACTCTCTCCCCAATTTTTTTTTTTTTTTTTTTTTTTTTTTTTTTTTTTTTTTAAATTTATCTCAAAACACAAACCAAACACACCAATTGATTTTGAGTTTTGAAAAGAGTTTTGAGTTGTGTATTTAGTTATGAATTTTGAAAATAATTTTTGAAATTTTTTGAATTGTATGTTGGATTATGAGTTTTGAAAATAGTTTTATTGGAATCACAATTTCAAAGTTAAACCAAATGTAGGGTTACTTATTTCAACTTATTTTTATCTTTTTGAATTTTTTTTTTAAAAAAAATCTGTAAATTAATTAGGGTCTGTTTGGCAACGTTTACGTTTTCAGTTTATATTTATAAAAATTTTATAAATTGGTTCTTGTTTATTTTTAAAAAAACTTAAACTACAAACGCGCTTGGTAATTGACAAAATATTTTAAAAAATTTAAAAATATAAAAAAGAATGAGAAATGGCAAGTAGTGGCAAGTGGCGGTGGAAGACGGTAGTGGAAAGTGGTGGTGGTGGGTAACGGGTGGTGGTGGTAGCGAGTGGGTGGTGGTGGTGGTGGCAGGTGGTAGGTGGTGGTGGCAGGTAGGTGGCGGATGGTAGGTGGTGGTGGGTGGGTGGATGGGTGAGTGGGGGGGTGACAGTGGTGGGTGGTAGCGAGTGGGTGGTGGTAGCAGGTGGGTGGCGGGTAGTGGTGGTGGGTGGGTGAGTGGGGTGACGATGGCAGGTGATGGGTGGTGGTGGGTAGGTGGCGGGTGGTGGTGGTGTTGGTGGGTGGGATCATTAATATTACATTTTTTTTAAATCATATTTAAAATTGATTCGACAATTATATTTTTTTAGTTTATTTTTTTAATTTTTTTAAAATATTTTGTTCAAACTAAACGCATTTGTAATTTATGTTTTCCTAAAAATAAACAAAAATCAGTTTATAAAATTTTTGTAAACATAAACTAAAAACGTAAACGTTACCGAACACTACGGTGCCGTTTGGTAACACTTACGTTTTCAGTTTATATTTACAAAAATTTAAAAAACTCAAATAAAAACTTATTTGGTAAATTTTTTATTTATAAATCAGTGGTCTCAGTTTATAAATTTAGTCAAAAAATGTAAACTCAAAAAATATGTTTCCGTTTTGAGTTTTTTTTTTTACCACCTAACACTAGCCACCACTTTCCACCACCGTCTGGCGGGTGATGGCTAGTGTTGGGTGGTAAAAAAAAAAAACTAAAAACTCAAAATGGAAACACATTTTTTGAGTTTACATTTTTTGGTCAAATTTATAAATTGAGATAACTGATTTATAAATCAAAAATTTACCAAACAAGTTTTTATTTGAATTTTTAAAATTTTTATAAATATAAACAGAAAATTGAAAACACAAGTGTTACCAAACGGCATCTTATTATTTTTTTTGAAGATGAAAATAAATTTTTAAAAAAAGCAAAAAAAATGTACTTTCCAAAACACAACTTAGGGGTTTGTTTGGTAGTGACAATTTGGCAGACAGTTTTGTATAGTGGGGTTGGAAATCTGATGCTGGCGCGGTGATGGTGATTATCCATAGTACCCCTGTTATTTTGACATTAGCAAGATGTGGGGCACCCAAAGTGAATGGTGGCTTGCTGCTATTAGCCATTGCTTCGTGGGCTGGCATTTTGTCTTTTATTGGAACACTAAATACCAAAAATATAAAAAAAATACAAGAATTCAGTATATTTTTTTTAATATTTTTATGTATTTATTAATTTTTTAAAATATTTTTTTATAAATTTTTTACTTTTTAAATACATCTAAGTAAGGCGCATCTAAAAAGTAAAAAAAATATTTAAAATTTAAAAAATATTCACTAAAAACAAAAAATCACAAAAACTAAAAAAGTTAATTTTTAAAAAACTTAATTCAGAAAACTCAAACCAAACACAGTGATTATTCTCTGAGTTTAGGATCTATGTTGTGAACGTGAACCCTCTGTTTTTTTTGTGGATGGACTAGGAGTGCCCAATAATTTTTTTTTTTTTCATAGGATAGATTTGAAAAATTCTTGGGTGCTAACAGGGTATCATGTGGCATGTCACATGGTGCTTCCAATCAATCACAAATATCATGACTTCTTATGTTGTCTTTTCATCACTCAATACACAAATGTAATCCCTATTCTCTTAACCAATAAGAAAAAAGAAAGATATCATATAACACCTATCCTATCTACACTCAAAAATTTCTCGAATAGATCTATAGTTGCTCGTTCAACTCAAATCTTTAACTTTTGATTATTATTTGAAGAGACAATTATATCAATCACTATATTAACTGATCAACTATCCTAATAAAGATCAATACGAGACAAAATGCTAACGAGCCCACCAAGAAGGGAGAAATTATTCATTATCCCCATAAGCAAATTTAAGTGTGCCTTAACTTAAGTATTATTGATTGTGTGGGGATATATTTTCCGATCACCAACACGTGGTAAGGTGACGCCGACGTGTCAGCCGAGGTTCCACGTGTCGTGGTAGTTACGCCGAGGTGATCTCGGAGAGGCTGAGGTTATCTCCGAAGATATCGGAATCCGAGATAAGCGGATAATGAATAAGGGGCAAGAGTCCTAGAGTAAAGAGAAGACTTTGCTAAGATAAGGATAAAACTCTTAGGGAGTTTATCTTTATCTCTTGAGAAATAAAGTAAGTACAGAATTGGAGTCCATAGAAGTCAAGCTTCTAGTGGGACTAGGATTGAGTAAACTATAAAAAAGAGGCACCCCCATGGGTTTAAGGTACGCAGTTTTATGCTTTGAGTAGTGAGTTTAGCACTTGAATATCTTTGAGAGATATACTGACTTGATCGTCGGAGTGCCGCCTGGTGAAAGAGCCACCGCCGGAGCCTTTTCTTTCTGTTACAGGTTTGCTGAAGCTATCTATTCTGCCGGTGCTCTCCAGCTGATTACTAGTCGGGCAGTGTGGTCAGAAAATCACCCACACAATTTGGCGCCGTCTGTGGGAAACTTAGAAGAATATATGGCCAGTAACGAACAGAGGGAAAACATTGGGAGCGACACTCCTGCTGGGAG